TAAGAAAATAAAGTTAAAAAAAAAAGAAATAATGACTCTCCAGTGATGAATCTTAAGTTTTAAAATAACTGGGTGAGGTGGGACAAATTAGCTTTTCTCATTATTCAGAGTTGCAGACTCTGGACCTAGGATATAAATTGCAGCAGAATCAGATGCAATTATTTTTCTTCAAATCCCACTGCTAATCTTAGTAGGCAGAGGAGGGAAAAATTCCTCTGTTAGGACAGGAATCACAGGGAGGCAGGAGTTCTGCAGAGCAGTTATGGGGCTGCCACAGCCTTTAAGCAAGAATTGAAGGACAAGGAAGAGAAAAAAACTAAATTACCATAAGAACTGAAAGAGAAGATTCAACTGAACAACTCATCCATCCCCGTGAGGACATAATACAGGTCACTGGCAAAGCCTTCTGAGAAACCAAACCAAATGTGTGTGTAATTTTTTAAAACAAATTTATTCCTGGTTCTCAAAGTGCTGGGTTTACCAGAAACCAAGGAACCAAATACTATTTCAACATTTAGTTTTTAAAAACGTATGTTTTCTAACTTCAAAGGATTCTCCTTAAAACACACACACACACACACAAAACAAAAACACAACACACTCAAAACCGTTTATCACACAAAAGCCAGTTTATTGCCCGTACAAGATATCTGGTTCACTAGCTAAAGGCGGAGCAAGCATCACTTGACTAATGACTTCCAAAGTGTCAGCTGGGACAGACTGTGTTTAAACTGGTCGAGTGCTGCCTCCAAAGGGAATGTCTGCCACACAAAGCCCGCGATTCACGGAGTCCCAGGGATGGGAACCTGGCCTGCTGACAGCACAGCCTGCGAGGTGTTCTCGGTCGGGGTGGAGAACAGACCGCTTGCTGTAGATCTCACAAGGCCAGCACTGTGGGCGCAGGTACATTGTATAATGTCTGCATTATATCACTGGTTACGTTAATGGCTCAGATGGGTTTTGCAGGAAAAATTGCTGCGCAAATCATCTCCCTGGCGGTGTCTCTCCATAAGCATAGCTGACTAAATAAGAAGGGTGTTTAGGTTGGTTTTGCCTCTCCAGAGTTGTTCATCGTTTCTGGGTCACTCTGTAGACCACAAAGACTGAGTCTCAACCCCGAACTATTCTTTCCACATGGCGACAGGTCCCTTCTGCTTTGCGGACCTTGGTATCCCCAGACATAAAACAAGAGGGTTGGATCCGTTATAGTTTAGTTACGAATGACCACATCTTTCTCTTGGTCGGATTAGTGTTTGATTGACAAACTAATGTTTTCAGCCATTCTCACCTTTGAGGATCTTTCTTTTTCCAATAAAAGTGACTCGGTGAGCTGGAGTCTGTAGTTACTTCTGCCAGGGTACATAGGTTTTCCATAGGTGGCAGAGCCTGGTGAGCAGAGGGAGTGAAAGATACCTGGGTTCCAGTTCCTTGTCTGAGCTACAAGCATGAGGGAGAGCAGGAGAAGTTGTGGCAAATGTTCAGAGTAGTGCAGAGAACCATGTAGGTACCCAGGACGACTTTCCCAAGGTAGGGAAGGAGCCATGCGGTCATTTGCACCACGGACATTACCTTCTGTCTTAGTAAGGTTCCTAGCAATTTACTTTCTAGGATAAGGTTTCAAGTTTTTTCTACACGGTTTTTTGGGGAAAAGAATTTTCAAAATAGAATCGCATCGTACGTCAACCTTTTTTCTTTACCATGAAGTCCAAAGACTAAATGGTGTATTATTTTTAGACTTTATACTAAGTAGGGAGGTATCAAAACACTTAAGAAAATGTCCCAGTCATGATTTGGAATTTCACATCTCAAGTAATTTGGCTACGCTTTTCTTAGCACATTTTTCTGGGAGTGAGGATGATTGCATCTTAGACGGAAGTGCACGTTGAGATTATTTCATGCTTTTCACTAGGTTAGGGGTGGTGAATTGGTGCTGTTATCCTGTCCTCCTTGCAGATATTGCCACGTAGTCATAGCACTTGTTGCTAAGTCTAGACAGCCTCCAGCTGTTTACCAGACAGTGGTCCAGACAGCCAGAATCAGTCTATTAGAGCTGGTATATCAGACAAATCTGATTGTTTCCCTGGACTTGATTTTATTTATTGTACTATTGATTATGTAGTATTTAGTGCCTAATCATATTAGATACTCCCTTTCTCTCTTAGTTTCCTTAATCGAAGCAACTCAAAAAAGTGTTGTTGTTTTTTTTCATTACATGTGTTTTCTAAATATTTTTATTTAAATAAAAGTCCCATTCAAACAAATGCCTAGTTTGAGGGAGTCCTTTATACAAATCATTTGCCCATTGGTTACACTACATTCTTTTCATGCCTGTGGTGAGTATTGGCCTGTGGTATTAGGTTACACCACCAGCACCTAGAACCGGAGAGTTCATCCAAAACAGAAGCGAAGCCTAAGAAAGCATCTTTTATATCCAGTCTGTAATCACAGCCACCTCTCAGCCAGTGTTGAAGATTGCAGGCCTTGTGGCAGGGAGCCCATCTAGTTCTGTGTTACACAGAATGAACAAGCGGGCCATTTCTTCCATCTTCTCTAGAGGCAGAAGTTTTGTTTTAAATGTTTTTTTTTCCCTCCCTCATTAATAATGTACATGTTTACTGTGACTTCTGTCTTAGGGAGAAGAAAAATTCACTTGCAAATCTACTGCTGAGAGATAATAGTGGTGGAAGTTTAAGTCAATAACATCTTCTGTATGTAAACTTGTATGCATTTGAAATGTCTGCATTTCATTCTCTGATTTCATTCTCATAAGAGCAGATGGAGCACACTGCTTTCTATATTTGTAATATAGGTAGAGACTTAAAGAGGTTACAGTGATTTTATGATGGCCTTGCAGAAAGTTAATGGCAGAGTTAGAATTAGAACACCCCCTATTTAATTAACTAACTAATTTTCAAGTACACGATACAGTATTGTTAAGTGTAATACCATGCTGTACATTAGATCCTCAGAACTTATAACTGGAAGTTTGTGCCCTATGTCCAACATCTCCCTACCCCCCAGTCCCTGGTAATTCTCTCTGTTTCTCTGAGTTTGGCTTTTTAGATTCCACATATAAATGAGATCATACAGTACTTGTATTTCTCTGTCTAACTTATCTCACTTTGCATAATGCCCTCAGGTTCAGTCTTGTTATTGCAAATGGCAGGATTTCCTTCATTTCTCATGGTTAAATAATATTTCATTGCCGTGTGTGCGTGTGTGTGTGTGTGTGTGTGTGTGTGTGTGTGTGTTTGTAACATCTGATTTATCCATTCACCCATAAATGGACACTTAGGTTTTTCCATATTTTGATTTCATTTCCTTATATAAATACCCAGAAGTGGAATTGCTGGGTCATATGGTAGTTCTAGTTTTAATTTATTGAGGAACCTCCATACTGTTTTCCATTGAGGCTATAACAATTTACATTCCTACCAACAGCGTAGGAATGGCCATTCTAACAGGTGTGAGGTGATATCTCATTGTATTTTTGATTTGCATTTCCCTGATGATTAGTGATGTTTAGCACCTTTTTGTCTGTCCTCCTTGGAAAAAATGTCTATTTAGTTCCTCTGTCCATTTTCTAATTGGGTTATTTATTTATTTATTTATTTTGCTGTCAAGTTGTATGAGTTCCTTACAGATTTTGGATATTAAACACAATACGTGACTTGCAACTGTTTTTCCCCACTAAGTAGGTTGCCTTCTCATTTTGTGGATGGTTTCTTTTACTGTGCAGCAGCTGTTTAGTTGGATGTATTTTTTATTTTTTGCATTTGTTTGTGCTTTCGGTGTCATATCCAAAAAATTGTTATCAAGACCAGTGTCATGGACCTTTTTTTTCTTATATTTTCTTCGAGGAGTTTTATGATTTTGAGCTGAAATTTCTTTATCATGATTGTCATGGTGATTCCATGACTGTATTTGTCAAGACTCATTGAATTATACACTCATAATTGGTTAATTTTATTTCTGGTATGTTATGCCCCAACAAAGGAAGAACTAGAAACAAACTGAATGTCTACCGTCTGTCAAGTGCTGTGTTAGGAATATGATTACATAGATGTGATGTGGGTCCTCTCTCCAGGCAGCTCACAGCCTGTAGAGTTGGTGTAGAAACACACAGGTCAGAGAGATAAGGTCGGAGTACATCTGCTGAGGCACAAAGGAAGGCGTTCTTGACTAGGGAAAGTCCCACAAAGGAGGTGCTTGACCTTTTTAGTGTGGTGGGTGGGCAGAAGCCAGGTGAGTGTTGAGGGAAAGGGCATTCCAGGCAAAGGCCTGTGAGTGTGAAACTGCACGGTGACGTTTTATAAACCACAAGGAGCCCGAATTGCTGGAGCTGTGAGATTTATGTCAGTGGCAAGAGTAGAAGCTGGGCAGGTTGGCAGAGAGGTAGAAGATGAAATGTTTCTCAGATTTGCTTTTCAAATCCATATTGCAAGAGAAATTATGTACTTGAGAGAGAAACCCTCCCTCTTGGACGAGAGACGAGATGATCAATGCGCCCATTCATGTCTCTCCGTTTCATTGCTTTTGGCTTAAAGACAAAACAACAAAAAACCTCGCTTTTACTATAACTATTTTTAAATAGTAGTTCTCTGTGAACAGACCTCAGCTGAATTTGTGTAGCTAAGGCTGTACTTGAGCTTCACATGTTACAAGGAGGAAGCATGTTTCAATGTTTGAGAAAGCCTTTCCTACTAGCCATCTGGGAGAACTACTGAGATTTGCCCCGTGTGGCTTGTGCCTTCAAGCAAATGCCAGTTTCTTTGTACCAATAGGGAGAAGTACAAAATCTCCCTCGCATTGCATTTTGAAAAGGAGAAAACCTTTTGAAACTGCTTATTGGTTCAACTCCATCTATATGAAATTCTTAAACACCATCTATCCTTGGAGGGATGCAAGGAAGTGTGTGGTGGGAGCAAGTAAAGGATTTAGATTAACAAATGGGACAGCTAATTCTGTTCTAAAACTGAACACTTTGCCATATATTACAGGCAATGGATTTTGAAGGCTGGGCTGACACCCTCTTTCTTCTGCAGTTCACCCTCTCTTGTGTGATGGGGTAAGCCTTTGCTGTCTTGTTATCAAGTAGTTTTCTTAGAGAAATGTGTTGGAGGGTCCCTTTGCCTCATTCCTCAGTGTCCTGTTCTGTCCCTTGAGTGTATCCGCCTCCTATAATTAAGCTTCCGCATTCAGGTGGTTTCACAGCCCTTGGGAATGTGCCCTCAGGGCAGCTAAACTGATCCCAAAGTCATGCTTAGGAAACTGGAGAACAACTAATATTTACCCAATTTACATAGTAGGTAATAAGCACCATTATTTCTCAACATTATTTTTCGCCATATAGTTCCTTTATATTTTTTCTAAATTGACCATTTGGGAGATGTTGTCCCTTTAACCATGAGAAAGCAGGCTCAGAACTCAGGTAGGTTGCCTGAGTTTGCACAATTAGTGATCATTGTAAAGCAAGCATGTCAAACTCAAAGGCCAAATAAGCAAGGTTTAAGTTTATGTGGGCCGCAAAAAAAACAAAAGCTTCAATTTTCATAGAAGCACAGGTTTATTTCGATAGAGACATGCTGAATACAAAGGGCTGAAATAAATGAGTAATCATTAACATAAAATAATAGAACATTTTAATAAAAATTAATATTTTTTCTTGAACATTAACTTACCAGACACTGAATAACTGCACAAATTAATAAGCATAATACAAATAAACCTATTTTCCTTGTTCTCCGAAAGCAAAATATTTCTTGTTGTGCACACCAAACAAGTCAGTCCAAGACTAATGACGTGTCAGTCGGCTGCTAAAATAGTCACTGCTAGTATTAGTGGAGAGAAATGGTGCGCTTGCGTGTAAGGCGTTAAGGGAAATGAACGCAATATGATTATAGTAATCAGTCATTAGTGAACATTGTAGTTCATTATTAATAATTATGTATAACAGCATATTGTAAAAATTAAGTTACGAAATTTTTATTAAAACGTTTCTTACCATTATATTGGCTAGGCCACAAAAATATTCGTTGTGGGCCGCATGTGGCCTGCGGGCCGCGAATTTGACATGCTTGTTGTAAAGTCAGCACCTGGATCTTACTCATAAGATACCTCTTCCTTCTTTATTCCAGGTTTATCTTGATGTACGCCACAGTACTCTGCACTCAGTATAATTCTGCTCTTACAACTACAATAGTTGGCTGCATTAAGGTGAGTTGAAAAAATACTGTTATCTTTTGGGGACCTGCTTTATTTGAAAATTATTCCTCTCAAATAAGTTGAATATGGCCTTAAGTCATATTTTTTCCTTATTTCTTCACATTTTTTTTTTTTATAGTCTGACAAATTGTGATGATGGTCTCTGAAACAGTCTTTAAGAACTCAGGGAGGACATCATCTCTACTTTCTAATTTAGCTCCGAGGAGCGTGAGAAAAGGAGAGCCTGTTATCTTAGAGAAGAGGAAGATGAATTGACGGGGCAGCTGACGAGCTCAGTAGGGAGAGGCCTGTCTTTAACCCCTGATGAGAGCTGCTCTGAGTGCTGGCTGTTTTGTGGGGAAAGGGTGCCTGCCAGAACTAATCAAGGGAGGTTTCCTGTGTGTCAGCCAAACCTAATGGCCCAGCCAAACCTAATGGCCCACTTTTAAAAGCTGCGTCTGACTTTCCCAGTGATGTCATTTCCTCCTGATCATTTGTCTTCAGCCAGGAGAGCCAAATTGACTTAAATATTGAGCTGACGTTAGTTGCCTTTGGGACTTCCTTCATGATGCCCCTTTTGTCAAAAAGTGAGGGAAGTGGTTGCAGAGAAAAGTTTTTACTGCTCTGTGTTACCCTTTGCACCCCCAATGGAGTGGTGTCCACATGACCTTATTTTAGAAATTAGATTTGGGTCAAAACTTCATGGAATTGGAGTGTTCGGTGTGAATAGAATTGTAGATTGAACTATAATAATCAGTTCTTTGAATTCCATTGAAATCTAGACAGTTAATCTACTTTCAAAGGTTTGGCTGGCTGACATGAATTTAGCGCCCCCCCCCCCCCCCTCCCCCGGCCCAAATGAGCTCTCAGCTCTGTTTCCGTTTTGTAAAGTAAATGCTTTTAAGAGCAAAGTGGATGGCTTGCATCTTCAGAATAAGAACAGCAAGAGCAGGGCAGCTGGTAACATGTTTTTGGCCAAGAAGAAGGATGGTACAGGAGAGCCTAGATTTAATTTTAATAACTAAACCTATTTGCTTAGAATTTCTTAGTGCACTTTCTTTATCATTATCAGCATGGGGCACAGATATAGTCATGCTCTCATGAACATGAAGTCCAGTACTTTACTTTTGCTATTTCCTTCTCTGCATAGAACCCTATGAACTTAGTCCAAAGGGATCAGTTTTACTTCCAAACTCCCGAGGGAGGGAGAGAATTGGATTGTCTGTGTGCTAGTAGTGTACAATTGCTGTTGCTTCTGTCTGCCACGTGGTATCGCTCTTGAAGGATGTCTTGAACCTTCTGGCAGATGAGAGTCCCCTGAAGCCCTTGCTATTTCACTCTCATGAGTGACAGTGGAGCTTCTTTCATTGGCCTCTCAGTTCATACCCTTTATCAGTCATTGTTCCCCAAGGGGCTTTAAGCTGTCCTCTGTGCTTGAGGATCCCAACCCCATAAACCCTTGGGTCAGCATTCCTTGTTTCTTTTAAGTGTGGTGGGAAAATTACTTAGGATAGCTAGTTAAACATGGACATCCCAAGGCCTACCTCGGATATACTGAGTCAGAATCTCTGAACTAGAGCCTGGAAATTATCATCTTTAACAGTTTCCAGATGATTCTCAGGTATTACTAAAACTTGAGAATTAGTTTTGAACTACTAGACCCATCTGTGCTTCCTGGTTAGTTCTGCTTTGTGGGCATTGGGGTCTTTTCCTGATAGCAAACCTTTGTAAGGCTGCCCTAGTGGTACTTACAGTTTTTCTACCTTCTGCTGATTGGTTTTGCGCAATAAGGATTGGGTTCTCTTCTTTTCCCTTTCTAAAGTTCCTTGAGCAATTATGCAAATTAACCTGCCTTCTCCCTGGATCTCTGGATCTCTGTATTCGAAGAGAGGTCCTATTACACATTTTCCCCAGTTGCCTACTGTTATGTGGCATTTCACACCCCCCTGAAATAATTAAAAAGATCTGCTTTAAGGTAACTTACTCTCTCTATCCTTAGACTTAGAAGAGGTAGACATAATTTTGAATGCTCAAAGGGCACTCCATTATCAAAATAATTTTGAAGTTTGTTTTAAAGTATAGCACTTTGTGCTTCAGAGGCCTAATCTAGGAGAACCCAGCTACTAAAAATGTTTGTGACATTTACCGTTTATGGCAGTTGTAAAGGCAGAGAGGGAGGTAAGTGACTTAGGAATGTGAAAGAATGGAGGTTAGGGAAGAACTGAATACATTTGGAAAATTTTATTTCACCTTTGTGGTCCGAGTTTAATTAAAGGGGACTACAGATAAGCAGAAGATGTTTATGCCTGGGAGTTTAAGTGAGGCAGGAGACGTGATTTTAGGTATTGCTACTTTGAGATGACTTCCCAGGTGTGTTTTGAAAATAGTAAGAAGGCTCCTCTAAAAACTTTCTTCATGTTGGTAAACTCCCACCATCCCCTTTATCCTTTTCAAAAAAGAGGGAAAGATTCTTGGATGTCACCAGGCTTTTCTTCTTCACTGTCCCCTCACAAGTCAACAGTTATCTCAATGAGAGGAAGAGCATTCTTTTCTTATTGCTAAGTATGCATTAGTGTTTTCTACCTTAGAAACAGCAGTGTTTCTCTATTTAGATTTGTAATGTCAGCCCATACCACAGAGCAGAGAAAGTTTGATAACCTTGTTAGTATTTTTTAGTATTGGTGAAAGCAGTTAGTGTCTGTAGAGAAAAAATTGGGCAGAGGCTAATGTCATTGTTTCCTTGTTAGTGTTCTTGCTCATACTACACTCATTTTAGGCTTGGTGGAATTTCGTTATTACTCGTTTATTTGTTTTTTGTGTTTTAAGAATAGGTATTTGGGTCATAGCATGGAGGAGTTTATATGAATATTTAAAAAGCTCAGTTAAACCTATGTAACAGTGCATTGCTTTTTTTTTTTAGAATATATTAATAACTTATATTGGAATGGTCTTTGGTGGAGATTATATTTTCACGTGGACAAACTTCATTGGCTTAAATATCAGGTAAGTAAAATATTTAAATATAACCATTTTGACAAATAGTGTCACAATAAGATTGGGCTATTTAATGTCAGATTTGTTCATTTATTAAACCTATATGGAGTGCTTCCAATGTATTATATTTTTAACATCTTTAGGTAGTGCTTTTTAAGAAAGGGAGAGAAAGTGGTTTCATATTTTATGCATAATAGTTGGGGAATCTTTTCTGGAAGTTGAATTCCTTTTACTTAGCTCTTCGAAGAACAGACCTTTACTTAGTATGCCAGATGGCAGTACACTATTCTCAAGAAAATGCAGGGCTAAAGAATACCAGCTCCGTTAGAAATGCATTATATGTGTCTGACTTTGGCCATATCACTGCATTTCTTTAGACTTTATCTTTATCAATGATGAGCGTGACTTGTATGAAAGATCTTTTTCAGCTCAAGAATTTTGAATCTCATGGTTTTTAATCTATTTATATGCTTAAAAATTCTTACATTTGTATTTGGGCCAGACCTCTGTCCTGAACTCATGCTCTGTATTTAACAGCCCACTTGACATCTCCAGCTGACATGTCCAATACTGACCTCCTCTTGGTTTTTCCAAAGTCTCTTCCACCCAAAGCCTCTGCATCTCAGCTGATGGAGACTCCATCCTTCTAGGCTTTCAGTTTTAAAACCTTGGAGTCATGTTTGACTCTTCCATCTTATACCCAGTATCTACTGTGTTAGCAAATTCTGTTGGCTCTACCTTCAGAATATATTCGGAAAAGGACTACTTCTCACTATCTGCATTGTTCATCATCTAAGCCACCAATATCCTGGTTTAAATTACTGCCTAGTTTCTACATTTGTCCCTGGTTTGACTCCTTTCTTGTCCACCCCATCCCTCAATCCCACCCTGCATTCCTTAACAGAATAGATAGTGTATTCCTTGTAACAAGTAAGTCAGAACATGTCACTCCTTATTTTACCCCCGCCCCAGGCTCTTCATGTTCCAAAGTGCTGACAAGGCCCTACAGGACCTGCCTCCTCTTTACCTCTCCAGTGTCAGCTCCTGCTTCTCTTCTTCTCCGTCACTCCGCTTCATCCACATTGGGGTCCTTCCTGTTCCTTTAGAACAGCGGTTGCCAACCTTTCCGACCTCATGGACCACCAGTGGTCTGCAGACCACCGGTTGGCGACCACTGCTTTAGGGCACTGGACATGCTCCCACTTTAGGGCCTTAGTACAGGCTATTTCCTCTGCCTGGAACATTGTACTGCCAGATACTTGCATGGCTAACTTCTTTACACCTATAAAGTTTTGCTCAGAGGTTACCTTCTCAAGGAAGTCTACCCTGACCACCTTATTTAAAACTGTAACCTATGGGGGTATGGGAAGAGGGAGAAGAGGCTATAGGGGGGATAAATGGTGATGGAAGGAGACTTGACTCGAGGTGGTGAGCACACAATACAATATACAGGTGATGTGTTACAGAATTGTAAGCCTGAAACCTATATAATTTTATTAAAACAGTGCCACCCCAATACATTCAATAAAAACAAAAAATATATAATTAATTAATTAATTTAAAAAATTGCAGTCTACTCTTCCCCTTTTGATTCTTCTGAATCATCTTATTCTGCTTTTTTGATTACTTTTTTCAGAGCACTTAATCACTTTCTAATATACTGTATAATTGGCTTACTTATATTTATTGCCTATATTCTGTCTTCCCTGCTAGAATGTAACTTCCATGAGGGTAGGGCTCTCCGCCTATATTTTTCACTCAAGTTTCTCAAGCTCCTAGAATGAATCCTGGTTGTTGCTTAATAATATTTGCTCTTTGAATTCTATCTGGATTGGTGAAAAAGCACTTTGAGAGCTATGAAGCGCTCGCCTAGAATATGGTAGTATCATCCTTCTCCTTTGCAGCAAATTACATAACCTCTCTGAGCTTTAATCTCTTCACGTGTAAACAAATGATAATACCTATTCTACCTCTCGTATGGATCAATATGAGAATCTAACACAAATATTAATAGGTTCATAATTCATCGTTGCCCCTTCCCTGACATCGTTTGCCACTATTGCTGTTGGCCTTTTAGAGGAAAAACCGTTGGTGATTTGTGGGATTCGGAGTTGGGGGGATGGTGGGTATACAGGCGACCTGAGAATTGCACATCATAGAGGGAAGATGAGTAGTCTCAGACCTGGTTGGAGTTGCCATTCCGAAACGAGCCGTCTGTGTGACTGAGTTAGTTGCTTATCTTTCCTGAGCTTCAGTGTTTTTAATGTGCTAAGGATGGAAATACCTATCATTTTAGAGTTGTTAGAATGAAGTAATCTAATGAGTGTAGAGTACCTAACTTACTGCTTGACATCTGTGCTTAGTAAATATCTCTTTCATTAAAATTTGTGTGGAAGGGCCAGGATATAAGGAGCAAAATGGTGAACCAGTTCTGACTTTGGACGTGACCTGATTTTCACTCATTTCTAAAAGTCTGGATTAAAAGTCATTATGACACTATATAGACCTGAGTCAGAGATGCCTTAATTTTCTTTTTGTCCCCTTAAAATAATTAACCCGAGAGCCACAATGAAGTAGAAGCTTCTATTTGCATGTTTAGATCTCTACAGTTCAACTCTCTTACAAAATAATCTTATAAGAAAGGTTAGATATCTTTTTTTCACATTGGAAGCCACTTAAAATAACTTTAAGTTCCCGAGTATATTGGAATGTTACAACTTATGTCAGCCTAACATGTATGAAATCTAACATCTGGAAAAATTCTTCCAGTAGAATTTCTGTTTCAAGATGTTGGATTTGATACATGTTAGGCTGACAGAAGTAGGGTTCTGTGGTGAGTCTGGCTCTCTCCAAATCCCCTAAATGCCTTTTTCCAGTGGCCAGTTACGAGGGTGCTGGTCCAAGCCTGAGACAGCTACAGAGAGGGCGGGAAGGAGTAGAGAAGGGTGGTGACAGCGCGTGCTGCTGCACTTCTCCCGGTGGCTGCACTCTGTCTGCGGCTTCTACTTGAGTCATGTAGCCTTTCCAGGTAATGACACCATCATCCTCATAACTGCCCAGCCTGGAATTCTTAGAATCTCTGGAACTCATCTTTAGCTGTAGTCCCCCACCCCCTTTTTTTGCTTCCATTAAAAAAATTATACATTTAATTACAGTAAAATTAAACCCTTTTAATGTACAGCTTATGAGTTTTGACAACTACTGCACCACATTCAAGATATGAAACATTTGTATCACACCCCCCACACCTAAAAAAAATCTCCCTATGTCCCTTCACATTGAACCTCTGCCCCTAATCTGTTTTCTGTCCAGGATCCCATATAATGATACATAATATTATGTAGCTTTTGGTCTGACTTCTTTCATCTAACATAGTCCATCTTGCATTTGAGATTTTGTGTTGTTGCATATATTAGTAGTTTGTACCTTTTTATTGCTGAGTAGAATTCTGTTCTTTCAATTTGTGAATGGATAAACTGGATATGTCACAGTTTATCCATTCATCAATTGAAAGACAAGTTTCCAGTTTTTGACTGTTTTGTATTAGCTGCTAAAACATTTGCTTAGAAGTTTGTGTGTGAACATAGTTTCCATTTTACTTGGGATAAATACCTAGGAATAGAATTCCTGGGTTGTGTGGTTAAGTGTATAAGAAATTCCTAAACTATTCTTTGAAAGTGTCTGTAACATTTAGGTTATCCTAAAACTCCTAGGCAGATAGATTGGTTCACATCCTGGCCAGAATTGTATGACTAAGGTACTTCTATTTTTAAAGTATGTGCACAGACCAACACTTATCTTAGTATAGCAAGGACATAAATAGATCCCTGGGAAGGCTACAGTTAGGAAGTTAATGTTTGTTGAGTGCTTGTAGATGATGGTCACCTTTATAGTGTCATCTCATTTAATCATCTCACGTAATAATGAAGTCAAGGTCAGAGAGGTGAAATAATTTGCCCAAAGTCACACAGCTATTACCATAGTAAGAATCAGAGCTGAGATTCTAACCCTGATCCAACTTTTAAAAGATGCCCTATAATTCAACCATGTGAAGGCACATGGGATTAGAGGTTAAAATGGCCCTTCTTGTTTTGAACATTTCCAGAGTCTCCTTGCTTACTTCCTGCCTGATTTGTCTTTTATTCTCCTATTTCCCTTTGCAGACAGGGAAAGAATCAGAATTGTTGAGCCCTTTCTGTACATATATTAAAGGAAGTAACTACTTAGTGCATGCAAAGCCATAGGCTAATTTTTATTTTCAGGGAATTTGTAATCTAGCTGGGAAGATTTATTCATAAACAAATGTATAATAGGTACCTACCAGGTACCAAACATTGTTGTTGGCAGTGGAGATAGAGCTGCTGTCAAACTGATCAAAACCCTTTCCCTTCATGGAGTTTTCCTTGTAGTAGAGGAGACAGAAAATGAAGGAAGAGATAAATGAGTGAACTACGTGCTGGTGATAAATGTTAGCTCTGATAGATAGTATTGCAGAAAAATAAAGCAGGGCAGGGGGGGATAGGGAGTATTTCAGGGGTGGGGGCACCTGCTGAAAGGTTATATGTTATGTAAAGACCTAAAGAATGGAGGAAATGAGCCACATTGATTTCTTGAGGGAAGAGCAAGTGAAAAGGCCCTGAAGTGGGCCTGGCCGGTGTTGCTCAGTGGTTGAGTATCAACCCATGAACCAGGAGGTCACGGTTCGATTCCCCGTCAAGGCACATGTCCAGGTTGCGGGCTCAGTCCCTGGTAGGGGGCATGCAGGAGATAGCCAAGCAAAGAGACTCTCATCATTGATGTTTCTATCCCTCTCTCCCCCTCCCTTCCTCTCTCTGAAATCAATAAAAAAAAACATTAAAAGAAAAAGGCCCTGAAGTGGGAGTGTGCCTGGTGTGTTCAAGGAACAGCAAGGAGGCCAGTGTGGTGGAGTGGAGTGAGTGAGTTGAGATGGGGTGGAGGAGTACATTATGTACTACAAGGAGAGATGGGGGCAGCTGGACGTCAGGACTCTGTGCCTGGCCCTGAAGTGGCTCTACTGAAGGCATTTTAGTTTGCATTTGTGAATGGCTGTCTACTTCTCTGTGGCTGGAAAATGTGTGCATGGCTCTCAGTCTAAGAGAGGCAGGTTGTGTTTGCATGGCTTTGGGAGATCAGAAGTGGATCAGAGCGGAGGAGGGGCACAGCTCGGCACTTTCCAGTCTTCCCTGCATTATTCTAGCTAGACCCCTGTCTGCAGGGCACAGTAGCTTTGCCTTTCTCTTCTGTTTATCTCCTGGCTGTGTCTGCCACAGTCTCCGTGAATTTGGTAGTACTCTGTGATGTGAATATTAGGCAGCTGGAGAATCACTTGAGATTTAAAAAACGAATATTTAGAATGGTCGAATATATAAACACCAGTTGCAAAGTATCAGAAGTTATCAGATTTCATGTGAATGTTTATGGAGCCAGATTAATGAGAAGTTGTTCTTTTTTTGAAGTGGTAGAAGATCCTGGTTCACAATCATGGTAGTGATGTATGAAAATTCAGATATAGGTCTCCCCCCTCCGCCCCAAATCTAGGCTTTTCCCTTTCTCTTTTCCATCTTCTTCTTCCCCTCCTCCCAGTTTCTCTGCATTCCCAGAGTTGCCAGGAAGCAGTTTTAAAGTTTACCCTTGAATAGCACAGGTCTGAACTGTGTGGGTCCACTTGTATATGGATTTTTCAGTAACTATGTACGGTACGAGAACTATTCTTTCTCCTCTAGTTTACTTTATTGTAAGATTATCTATAAATATAAAGGCCTAAGCGACCGTTATGACCGGTCGACCAGTCGCTATGACGATGCACTGACCACCAGGGGCAAATGCTCAACACAGGAGCTGCCCCCTGGTGGTCAGTGCGCTCCTTCAGCCAACCTCCCGTGGCCAGCCAACCTCCCGTGGCCGGCCAACCTCCTGCGGTCCCTTCCCCTGGCTGGCCAGCCCCAATTGGCCCTGATCGCTGACCAGGCCGAGGGACCCCGCGCCTCTAGTTGTATATAATACTGACAACATAACAAATATGTGTTCATCAACTGCCTATTTTCTGTAAGGCTTTCAGTCAGCAACAGGCTATTAGTAACGTTTTTGGGGCATCCAAAATTATATGTGGATTTTTGGTACCCTTAGCCCCCATGTTGTTTACGGGGCAACTGTATGATAGTCCCTTCCAAAGCAATAACTCATGACTGCTTGGCACACGGTATTCTTGTTGATGAATATTCAGTTCTCTTCAGGCGATTCAGGAAAGGTCATTTCTGAGAATTTATATACCTGATAATGATCAAGTCAGGAATAAAGATGAGATGGAAAATCTTGTACTGCCTCTTGTTGGAACTTGTGAGACTGAACAGTCTGGGCTCTCCATTCTCCAGAGTTCAATAGTCTCTGTATGTGGTTTTGCGCCGGTTATGTGGCAACAGGGTGCCCTCTTGCATCAGGTTAACTCTGATTATACCACCATCCCTTTATTAACATTGCATTTTGCCTCTGGCTGGTGAATATCAGAGCTGACAGAGGAGGGAATAAATATTTCCTGATTGCTTAACTGTGTGCCAGGATTAAGGCCTGGTTCTTTATACATGCTATCTCACTTAATCCTCAAATAAGCCTAGATAGATAGTATTCTTTTTAAAAAAATATATTTTTATTGATCTCAGAGAGGGAGAGAGAGATAGAAACATCAATGATGAGAGAGAATCATTGATTGGCTGCCTCCTGCATGCCTCACACTGAGGAGTGAGCCCACAACCCAGGCATGTGCCCTGACCAGGAATTGAACCTTGATCTCCTGCTTCATAGGTTGATACTCAACCACTGAGACATGCCGGCTAGATAGTAGTATTATTCTTCTTTTATTAACACAGAAAATAGAATCTCAGATAAATTAACAAATTTTTCCAGGGACACCGAGCTAGCAGTATATTCAAGGTTGAACAAAGGCCTAACTCCACAGCCATTGATTTTTCATTACACCAACTGCACTGACAGCGTAGGGTCCCGGATCTCCATAAGGACTAAGCCTGGAGTAAGGTCCTTGTCTTCTGGCCTGAGTTGCTCCATTATTCCTCTCCAGGTGAAACTGGCCTAATAGGAGCGACAAAGATGAACTTGACAGGAAAATAGGTTGTCATGCGAGTGGGAATCTGGAGGAGACTAGGATGACAGAAAGAAGGAGCAGTCCTTCCACTGTGTTGGGGCATGGAGTGGGGTTGGTGGAAATTGACCCCCATGTAGCTGTACAGTGAACCTCAAGAATATTTAGCCTCAGTCCAAAGGCTACACAGTAAACCATCTCCTTAGGTCCTAGCCCAGCGGCCAGGAAAAATTATCTACTTGGTGCACTAGAAATTAAAAAAGCTTCCAGAAGAGAGAGAAAATTTTAAAAAAAGAAAGAAAAGGAAGTGCAATAAAGTTACCAGATGAAGAAGATAAGCAGACGAGCTCTGTGAACACTGGCACAAGGATTGGGTCATGAGGTTCCTTTCTGTGCACTGGGCCGTAACGGATATCGTTCAGCAGTTATTTACTGTGCTGTTACAAAGTGCCAGGCCTGTGCAAGGGACTCTGTCGAGCTGAGAGTAAAGCCGTGGGAAATTTATAGGCCGATGGGAACAAGATAAGGACAGGCACCTGCAACATCCAGTGGAACAGGGGCCAGAGGGAGGAAGCCATTTCAGTAGGAAAAACTGGACTGACGGGGTTCTATTCTGGCCCATCATTCGGATGCTTTGTGACCCTGAGCAAGTTGTCTTTTGCCTCTGGGACTCAGTTTCTCTCATCTGCAGAGGTAGTGTACCTCGCAGGAATATTGCAACAGCAGATGTATATACGATAACATGACATGTAATAGAGTTGCATAAATGGCCACCATTTGATTATTAAGTACTGTGAAGTGCCTCATCATCCTTAATTGCGGGAGCGAGGCACCTCTCACCAAAGCCCGGAGGAAAAAGGAACTGATTTCAAATAAGCAGCACGTTTATGAGCCAAGTGGTCAAGCAGAAGGTTGGGGCCAAACCTAGGGCAGGGACATCTGAAAGCAGAGCCCAGGCCAGGCTGCCAGCTGGAGACCCAAGGGAGCCACGGGGGCAGGCTCAGCGGAAGAGCAGGTCAGGGCTGAAGCTGTGTGTCACAGGTGCGGTTGAGGTCCCCACAGAGAACAGATAAGAGTAATCACTGTCCCTAAAGAGTGAACCCCCGGGGTGGTAGGTGTGGTGGACAAGTGAAGGGCGTCAGCAACCCACTCCGAGTCTGAGAGCTCAGACAATGGGTTTTCCACTGCGGATGTGATTCTAGTCAGAGAAGAACCGGCACCCAGCGTCCACATGCTTGCTTATTCGTTGCGATGATTTTTATTTTTATTAAAAATAACATTTGCCTTGAATGATTATCTTCAGAAATGCAGAAAATACGAATAAAAACGAAATCACCTATAACCTCACCATCCAGATGTAACCATTGTTAATATTCTTGTGTTCCTTCCAGACTTGATTCTGGTGCATATCAATATACATATTCTTGTTTATTTAAATAAAATGGGATTAGATAATAGTTAAAGATTTGTGAGATTTATTTCATTTAAGATGTCACTGCCTGTTTTTATTTTACATCATTTTAATGGATGAGTGTTATTTTATTGTATGAATTTATATAATTCCTCACTGTGGGACATTGACCCTTTAATTTTCTGCAATTATAAATGATGTGATAAACACTTTGTTGATAAGTCTAAGGAGATGTGCACAATTCATCAGTGAAATAGATGGCTAGGTCAAAGGATACGCAGAATTCTAAAGTTTATTTTATTTCAACAAATTGTCTTCCAAAAACCTTGTATAAAATTGGCAGTCCTGTTGACAAGTCTGTGCGAACATTCATTTCCCAGAGCGTCAACCGCAGTAGATAATACCAGGATAGGGGAGGGTCTCTCATTCGGTAGATGAAAATGCTGCATCTGTTTTAATTTTATGGGCCGTTGATTTATACAGGTGACTCCACCCTCACACCAGTCTCCCTTGCATTTGCCATCCCTTCCTTACTCCCTGATGATGTTTTCTATTTTGCAGTATTGCTGGGAGCCTGGTGTATTCCTACATCATTTTCTCTGAAGAGCAGCTGAGCAAACAGTCGGAGGCCAGTAACAAGCTGGACATTAAGGGGAAAGGAGCAGTATGACCAGAAGATTGCTTCAGCGACGTAGGCCTAAGACTTTGATCAGCTTGGAGCACTGGCAATTCTTACACAGATACTGGGGTGTCTTGATTATGGAGAAAATACCATTCCTTTGCACTTATACAATCTTAGGATTGATTGCTGCCTTTTAACATTTTATGAGAGAAACTTATAATTGACTCTATTTTAATTATGCCATTTGAATTAATTTATATCAGACTGGAAAATGCACCAGGCTTTTTAATTTATTTTTCTTCTGTGCCGACAGTGAACCATCGGTGTTTGGAAACTGTTGTATTCCATACTTTGATATCCAGGTGTCCCTTATAAAGTGCTCCAACTGGAGCCTCCTCGTTCAAGTCATTGCTGCGTCTGGAGGCAGGTCTAGCCTTCCTTCTGCTGGAAATGCAGTGGAGTATCGGCAGTGTCTCTTCTTTGAATTACATTTCTTAACGTTTGCATTTTCTTCATAAGGATATCATCGTTGCATTTGCCAAAGACTACAACTTTGGCTCTAAAAAAAATAGGCGGGGCTTTGAGGTGTATCGCTTTGCATGTTGGCTTTCCTGAGAACTCCTGGGATGAGCAGAGTGCATTCCTTGAAAACTTGCTGTTCCCTCTTGGTTGTGTGGGATGGGGATAATGAAGTGCTGGAGGAAGCACTTATCTATCTCTCTGATTCATTCGTTCACCTAAAATGTAGTGAGTGTGTAACATGTGCCAGGCCTGATCCTAAGTGCTGGGATACAGAGAGGTTTTCTGGAAGTCGTTGAATGAGCTCACTTCGGCCGTAGTGACTGAGTGAGGTAAGACAGAGAACTCAGCTCGATCCATCCATTCAGCAGATGTGACTATGAACAAGTCGTAGAACTTTATCCAGTTCTTAGACACTGCAATCTATATGTGGTGCACCCGCCCCACCTCACCCACAGTGGTGTGAAACCACACACTGAGGTGTGAGATCAGAGGCATGGGAAGAGGTGCATTTTGTGAACCATGCAGCCCGGCCCTTCCCTGAGTGAGAATGGTAGGCAGGCAGGCAAGGTGACCCCTGTGTATTTCCCCGTGCATCCCTTCTCCGGGTTTAGCTGCTACTCTTTTTCCCCTCTTTAAACCAATATGACTGGGTCTTCCATTCCTGAATGCATTGGCTTGAGGGGAAAGGCTGGTTAGATGTTTGTGTATTGTTGAGGTCTGATTGGTGTTAGAGCTGTCACCTTTCTCTGGACTGTCACCTCTCTCCTGTGGTCACTCCCACCTACATTCTGCGTCCTTGTCCTTTCACTGCCTTACTGAGGACACCAGCTTCTCTCAAGCCCAATGCTGCATTCTGGGAGAACAGCTGTGAATGGACATTGAATTGCTTCTTTGGGTGGGCCAGGGTGTTAAATGCAACACAGTCCTGTGACTTGGTTCAGACATATCCGCTGACTTTGGGGAGGAGTGTTTGCTCAGCTAGTTGTGCAGTGAGTATGCAGGAGGCTGGGTGCCTGGTGCACACACTACTTTTAGTTTATTGGGTGTGGAATCCACTGGGCTCCTTTGATCTAAACAATGAATAATTTGGTGTCTCAATATGGCACCTGGAAGGTTTTGATCTGTTTATATTTTTGATGGAGGTCATATTTATGCTTTTCCCTTATTTTGCTTTGTCTTTATTAAAGCCTGGCCAGTGGTGCTGGGTCCCCAGAATTAGCCTCACAGCTAACTTCCAAGTTATAAGCTCCATGTAAGAGTTCCTAAGGCTCACCCCACCCCCACCCCCCCACCCCCAGCCCATCAGCTGATCTGAGGAAATTCTGGTGGGAGCATAGGACATTACCTTGTGTAGGATGGCTCTTACTGTCCCTGTTTTACCAATGAGAAAACAAGACTCAAAGAAAGTAGGTGATTTGCTAATTAGTGAAAATGTGTGTTTTTTCCATTGTACCATGCTGCCATAAATTAACTGTCCTGTAAGAGGGAGTAAGGAAATGGGAGTGCTAGCTGGATTAGCTTGCGGCAAGCAGTTGATTGAATTTTAGTCAGAGAGGAATAGGCTTTGCAAATCAGGGAGAATGATGGATCACACTATATGCCAGCGCTCTCCTCTAACTCCCAGGCTGGCCGCAGCTGATATGCACTTCTGGCTGTGACTGTTGTCTGTCACTGCCTGGGTTTGCCTGGGCACAGTGGAAAGGCATTATAAGACCTAATTTCAGCAGTTCTGTTCCTTTTTCTACTAGCCACATGGAAGAAAGAACTTGGACATTAGAAATAATTTGTGTTGTAGAATTTCTCATCATGAAAGGCCTTTGGATGTGTTTCAAGGTGTTGAACTAGAACCCCACCAGGAGTTGAATTTCCTCCAGGGGTCAGGTTCCCTTGAAGATTCGCCATCTCTCCAGGTTTATCTGAGAAAATTATGTATAAGTTACAGCTTTGCTAAATGCACATGATCTCAGGGCCCATACCCTATGCTGAACTGACTGACCAGAGGCAATAGGACAACTTAGAGCTCCTGTCTGTACGTGCTGTGATTCCTGGATGCCCCCTTCAACTGCCATCCACATTGCAGGATAAGAGGAAGCAGCCTGGGGGAGTTGGGGTCTATTTGAGAGTTCTGTCTGAGCAAGGACAGAACTGGCCAACCGTTTTTGGAGTTTGCTTCCATTATGTGCAGCTCGGTTACAGCAGGACGCTGGAGATTTCCCTAGTGCTATAGCATCACCCAGGCTGTCTGGAGTGTATCCTGAGGTTGATATCTTACAAGGTCAAACATTCTCTGACCTGTTAACTACCTCCTGGGAGGAAAAAGCGGCAGTGTCGAGTTCAGCCTGTAATTTGCTCTGTGAGACAGACGAGCTGTGGAGAGAATTCTTTTAAAGCAAAATTCTGACTAATAGCTTCTTTTTGAGTTAATGACAGTAGAGTCCTTTTTGGTCAGTTTGCTTTCAGTCAGTGCCAGATTGATTCAAATAACCCTGATTGATGGGGCTACACATTGCCAACATAACATGTCCAGTGATTTTTAATGACCTCATATGGCTGTCAACTTTATGAGTCAGTCATTTGTAGGATCCATCTTGAATGTAGGTGGAAAGTTTTCGGTAGTCCTATTGTATCAGAAATCCATGGAAAGTTCAGGTCAGTAAAGCTGATATGTGATCTTCATGGAAAGAATAATAGAATTTCACACATTTGACTGGTTGGGAGTAGTACCTAGGAATTTAGGCTTGCCTTTCCTTTGTTATGGCCTTAGTCAGTGAGCAAAGATTTACTGAGCATCTATTTGATGCCAGTCGTTATGCTCGGTGTTTTGTTTTGGGTGGCAAAATTATGCTCAGAGACTAAGATTGGTTTGCCAGTATTTTATTTAACACATGTTCACTATGGGAATTCTAAAAATTTCCTAAGCCCATACAAAATAACATACTCCAGAGCAATGATAGATTAGTTACACTACTGTTCCAGGCGAGGGAAGGTGAATGAAATAAAACCCAAATCTAGTTGAGGTGTACCTTTTCTATAAGGTTGGTTCTTGGGAGAGACAGCTTAATCAACAGCGTTGCCTTCCAGCTGCCAGCACAAACCAGATCGCTTGTGCTAGAGCAGATTGCTGGGGAATGCTGGCCCTAGCTGGGCAAGATGTCCTCTGAGAGGCTGCTGCAGGCTCTTGTCACTGCTGGTAGGAGTCACCATTACTGTGGGAAGCTATTGCCCAAAGGTCTTGGGAGAGCTGTTTAGATCAGCAAAGGGTCTCCTTGCCCAGAGAGAATTTCAAATAGACCTCATAAACTCTCTTCACAAACATGCAGACTATTTATAGTCTAAATAGGCCCTCGCCACAGTTGCTTCCTCTTGGGATGTTTTTTATTGATAGGCCTCCAGGGATGCTCCTCAACAGCTGAGATGATGTCATCATGACATATTTTACTTCACTTTTATATCAAAACAGCTTTACTCTTTAAAAAAAAATACATATTTTTATTGATTTCAGAGAGGAAGGAAGAGGGAGAGAGAGAGAAACATCAATGATGAGAGAGAATCACTGATGGGCTGCCTCCTGCATGCCCCCTACTAAGGTTCAAGCCTGCAACCAGGCATGTGCCCTTGACTGGAATCGAATCCGGGACCCTTCAGTCTACAGGCTGACGCTCTATCCATTGTGCCAAACCAGCTAGAGCAAAGCAGCTTTACTCTTAAAACAACTTTATTTTTGTCATAAACAAGTAAATTTGAAATCATATCAAGCCAATATACAACACGAAGCTCTGGGGAAAATGAGATGAATAGGACATGTTTCTTGCTTGTATTCTTTAGCAAGACCCTAACTGAAAGAAGTAGTTGAAGGAGTCGGTGATTTATCAGTATCAGTGATTAGGGGTGACCCACCCATAAAGCTGAAGCTTTTTTTTTTTTAACTCTAAGAGGACTTTTATAATTTATACTAGTCTTTTAGCTCTGAGATGTGCCAGGCTATTAGAATTCCATGACTACCCTGAGTCCCTCTTCCCTTTACTGCGTTTATTCTTGCTTCCCCATAACTTTGTATTATTAGTTCCTCCTAATACTAATATTCAAAAGAAATGAGGTATTGGATGCAAAACTACTCAGCACAATGCCTAGTATATATTAGGCACTTGGCAGATTTTGTTACTGTCATTTTATGGTGAGACTTTAGGCAAAACAAGTTTCTTAAGTTGTGTTCTTTAAATGCTAGAGGCCTAGACAATGTGTGTATTTCTTGAAAAATGTGACCTGTACTTTGTTTGCTTCCGGAATGCTTAAATAACAGTGTCTTTTCAAGATCTTTTAAAATTCCTACCGGATATGCCATAATTGTGGCCATTGTGTGATGCAGGTGATTCCACGTTGTTTTTTAAAAATGACGAAATTATTTATATTTTTACGGTAAATTTCAAGAAACAAACATTATGTTACCTCTTAGAGCAGTGGTTCTCAACCTTCTGGCCCTTTAAATACAGCTCCTCATGTTGTGACCCAACCATAAAATTATTTTCGTTGCTACTTCATAACTGTAACGTTGCTACTGTTATGAATCATAATGTAAATATCTGATATGCAGGATGGTCTTAGGCGACCCCTGTGAAAGGGTCGTTCGACCGCCAAAGGGGTTGCGACCCACAGGTTGAGAACCGCTGTCTTAGAGGAAGGTAATTACACTTCAGAATGGTGATTCAGTTAAAACGTTCCGTTTGTCCCTTTAAGGTGGCTGTTTGCATGCCCGTCATTCCTCCTTCTCTTCTCCGAAATAAACGCCCGGACAGCGTGCTTCGTCTGCATCTGCGTCTGGGTTCATCTCAGTTGTTGGTGTTTGTGAAC